TGAGCTAGTTGCTGCCAGAGTCACTGTGGATGACTCTGCTTAGTGCTTAACTGTTTAAAAAAGCCTCTAAAAAAAGTGCCCTCTACAGGAGGAGGCAGGAGAATGAGGTGCCTCAGCTAGTCTGACTTTAGTCGCTTTATGTTCACTCGAGCAGAGTTAAGCAAGGGTTAAAAGCCTAAAAATCCTGACGTAGGTGAGGCATATCGTGGTGGGTATGGCAGAGAAGCTGCTTTCAAGCCATTGGAAAATATATCCAACTTCTGTGTTTGTGTCTGTTTCAGAGAGGGGGCAGGGAGGGAGGAAGGAGGGGGAGGAAGAAGAAAAAGAATGAAGGAAACTTTTTTCGCAAAGGAGAAAAACAAATGTTGCTTTAAATCGGAACTGAGCATGCCTGGCTATGGAATTCTGGGAGTTGAAATTCACAAGTCTAAAAAAATTTAAAACCCACCACTGTGTCCGTGCCTCACCAGCCATAAACCTCACCGCACGTCACTGATCTGGTGTCATAAAACATTAAACAATTATTTCTTCAAATTCATTGCTTACAAAATTAATTGAGAGTTAATGTTAGAAAACTGCTTTACATTTTTTCTGGAATACATATATTTTTGAATATATAATGTAGCTGGATACTAAAAACAGGATTTCATAATTTAAATATTACTGAGGCAAAGTATAATTTAAAAAAAACTCAAGTTGTGGAAGACAGATAATCTGGTGATCTCCAGTTATCTTGGGATGTAGTTCATTATTGTTCAGGCTGCCTGTGGCTAATAAAAATGAAGTACAAAGCGTTTGGAGAATACTAGGGTTTGTTCAGATTAAGTAAGCTTAATTATGTTAAGTGGGTATACATTTTCAGGTTTTTAATGATTTAATAATGAAGTTTAAACAGCATAAACCCACCCGTAGTATAATTGCTGGTGTAGCTCCTACAACACCTGGTCCCTTATAAGGCTTAAATCAAGGTCACTGAAGCAGATCCCTAAATCCAAGAAACACTAACTCAGGTACTGTATTTAGGCATGTGTTTTATCTGTCAAAGCACTACTTGTTTTATAGGATTAAAATGGTTCTAAGGTAAGGTTATTTGGTGAACACAGGTGATTTTGTGCCTAAGGCAAAAGTACCGTAGAACTCCAGCCAGGTTTCCAGCCAGTCTTAACTCTGCACCAAACTGGCTCTTGGAAGGATTTGACTGCACTATTTTGGCTAGTCTTGTTCAGAGAAAATCAAAATGGATCGGGCACCGAAGTGTAATACTTTATTGTTCAAATATTAATAAACAATGCTACTGATAGTGATGTATGTACAACAGATAGGTTTAGGTTTCGTTTTATTTATATGCTGCCCTATTCCCAGCGGGACTCAGGGCGGCGCACAAACCCAAGGAGGGAAAGGGGAACACAAAAAACTACAAATACAGNGATTACATTCTACTGCTCCAGGGGCAGACTTTTTTTTCTGGAACCCACTTTTTAAAATGTATTTTGAAATTGATATATACTGTAGTTAAAATCTACAAACTTTGTTTTTTCCTTCTTATGGGCTTAAATTATTGAAACCAAAGTCCACCATATTTGGGGGGCATCAGATTAGGCCATCTAAGAAAAGGAAAGGGAAAAGAGAAGGAACATTTGTTCTTGACTGGTCATCAGTAATCTTGAAGTTCTTTCTTTCCAATATAAATACTTATCCACATAAACATCAGAAGGTAAATGGATACTTACTGTCAGCCATTGACATATTTATTTTATTGGGTAGGTTCCTAACTCAGAAAAATGTTACAACTGTGTAAATTATATCTTGAAATTCACAAGTTCACTAAACCATAGAAAAAACTATTGGCATGGTATATTTGCATAGCGTAGTTTTTCTAAAAGAATTTAATGAGCAAATTACAATAAATATTGGTTTGTTGTTTAGTTGTAGATTTGAACCTGCTGAAGGAGGAAGTAAGAATGTATAGCTGTACTCCACGCAACTTTTCAGTGTCAGTACGAGAAGAATTGAAACGAACAGACACCATTTTTTGGCCACTTTGTCTTCTGGTTAAACGCTGCGGTGGAAATTGTGCCTGTTGTCAACATTCTTGCAGTGAATGCCAATGTGTCCCTACCAAAGTCACCAAAAAGTATCATGAGGTATTGTATTGAATTGTATTTTCCTTGGGGCCAAGGAAAACTATAATAATAGATGTTGGTTAGCAAACTATCATCCTTGGATGTCAATACTTGAGATTTCAATTTACAAATCATTTTTAGGCAGTTTTATCTTGTCTTGAAAAAACTGACACCTTAAGAAGTCCTTTATGTTTCTAACTACTATTACTTTCAACTGCTTGTCAGTAACATACCCATAGCAAACAAAACTCTGAAGCAAGCAAATTCCTCAAGGAATAGGTTTACTTGATATATCACTGCCACAGGCTGGAGAAAACCAACTCTGATTATTTCCACAGTTTTTACCTAATTAAAAGTAAAAGTTTTTCACTTTTTCAAAACAATTAATCACATGGTCCAATCAGGATACTGTCCAGTTGCTGGGTGACTCCAGTCCCCTCCTTCCAAGCAACTGCAGGAATGTCCTTGGTTTCCAAGTGAAAGTATTTTGTTTTGGCTACAACACCGCAACTATCTCAATTTCCCCCTCCCTATCCCTCTTCTCCAGTGTGTTAGCGCTGAAGTCTCAAAATGGCCTCAGTCTTGACACTGTTAGTTTGTTAGGGAAATTACAGGTGACTAACAAGTAGAAGGAAACGGTCTTCATCTGTAAGGATTTGATTGATAGTTATGCATCGTGATTTCTGTACCTGAACTAGGATAAGCTTTGCATGTAGTTTATTTCAACGTTAAATACGAAATGGGAACTCCAATTTATGAGGATCACAAATTTTAAATTATTATATTGATTTATATTTTCAAATGTTGGAACAAAGAAGCCAAAACCTTCTTTAGTAAACTATTTATGGGCCAAGATATATTGGGTTATGCATAAATCATGAATAGGATTTCAAGATGAATATGTACCTGCCATAGACAAATACTGATTTCTAACACAGGAATAGGATTTTTATTTAATGATTTGCTTCTTTTAATGGCATTTAAAATGACAGCTGGACTGTTCCCTTGCAGGTCCTGCAGCTGAAGCCCAGAAGTGGTATGAGAGGATTGCATAAATCTCTGACAGATGTCCCTTTGGATCATCATGAGGAGTGTGACTGTGTGTGTAAAGGAAATACAGAAGGATAAAAGGAACTTCTTTCTTCTACAGCACATTGAATTAGAGGCTTATTCTGTTCTGGGGCTTGTGCATTAATCTCCTTGTATAATCTCAGTTGTTTCCTTTGAAGATCTTCCATGTTCAAGATTGATGGTTCTGGGGAGATGAAGAGAGAAGAAATGAAACAGAGATTATGTATGCAATGTAACAGCACATGAAAGCCCATTAAAACTATGAGCAGAAGGCATTGATGAGGATTTCTTTTCCTCCACCTTGATATAAATATATAATATCATCTCTTTTGCTCATCCTGAATTTTAAAAGATTTAAGTTTAGAAATGCTCAAAACCCGAACTCTTCTAATAGCCCTCCTTCTGCAGGTCAGTTGCTTCTGGCTTTTCATTCTAAACTTCTGGAATCTTATTTCACTTATTGCAGTAACTCCTACATGTCCTAAATTAAAGTGTCAATTGCTTAAAACTGTGTTATTCTGAGTTAAACTTACATTTTTCACTTATAGATATGAAAAGGACTGCACCCTTTTCTATGTTTTTCCCCAGTCAGGTTCCTGTCATTTTGCAAAAATGCCTGGTCAGTATATGTGAGCAAGGAGGAAAAAATTGAAATCAATGAAGTGTCTTATTCCTCCCACTAGTGCCTTCAAGGGTTTTTTTTTGTTTGTTTATATTTTTATATTTTTGTTGTGTACATTTTTATACTCTTTGATGGCATAACATTTTGCTTTTCTAATCTTGTTAAATTTATCTATTTTTTACCAAAGGTATTTAATTTTCTTTATATTTACAACTTAGAAAAATTGTATTTTAGTCCTGTAAAATCCAGAGTCAGTGTTACAGGAAGAGGATAGAAAGAATTACTGGTTGTATAATTCAAGGGATGTAGTGGTGCATGTGCACATAGAAAAATAAAGCAGATGAAAATATCACTCTGACTTTACAATTGTAGATAAGTAGATTCATCATGCTGGAATAAGAAGGAACGTAATAGCTGTTTTAAGCCTTTTTATATTCTAGTGCCTTGATCTAGAGAGAATGTCTGTGAGCATAGAAAGAGGCTTCAGCATGCATAAATAAGAAAATAAATACCATTTGTTGGATGAGAGATTACTAGCATAAATCTGATAAGCATCAGAATACTCATCAGAGGATAACTGTTAACCTGCATTGCACTGGCTTGAATGGGTTACATATCTGTACCATCTACATCCTGGCAGAATTATTTTTTGCAGAAGTATAGTTTTTATATGTGACCTATGATAGATTGGGAAGCAGGTATCGTCATGAAAAAATAATAATAAATTCCAACACAATGAGGTCTTGTCACCAAATTATATAATGGGTTGATTAAAAATATGCACATATTTATTGCTACAGACACAACAATTTTAATATTATCATTGACAGTTGCTTCTTCATAAGGCCTATAGATTCCAGTATTTTAATGATGTATAGAATAATTTTTGAAATGTGGATTTGCTTACAGTATGTACAGTTTATATATAAACTAGTACATTTATTCTCATCTTGGACAAGAAGGGAAGAAGTAGTAAAATATTTTGCTTGTAAAATACTTTTAAATTGTCTAGTGTTGTTTTGTGTGAATGCCTGTTTCCTTTTATTGTTTGAATTTATGTAATTCACAAAATAATTATTGGGATAGAAAGAACTCACTATATCTACCTATGGAAGGTAGTTACCATTTAATTTAAAAAAATATTGTTTTGTTTCTTCATGTGGCATATGCTATCTAGCAGTCTAAACGCTTCCATTTCAGTTGCTGCAGGAAATATATGGACAGCTGCATGCAAATATTTAGGAATGCCTGGTTAAAATGTATGTTTTATTGAATGCCTAAATCAGGGGTGCCAACCTTAAATCAGGGGTGTCAAACTGGCAGCCCGTGGGCCGGATGCATCATGCGCAGGCCGTGCCCACCCCAGCTCTGCGAAGGGGGAGAATGTCAAAATACATCACGTGATGGCAACGTGACACTGCAAGTTTTAACACCCATGTCCTAAATGAACAGAGGTTGACACAACTTCAGCATGAGAGAAAAAAATAAATAAAACATGACACATTCCTACAAATGTTGATGCCTACTTGTTATTTCAATACAGTTGTGTACAGATTCACAATAAATTAATAGTAAATATGACAGGTGAAGAAGTTTGGATCATTTCAGCCAGTACCCCCCTTTTCAGAAATAATAATATTCTAAGCTTCCTATGGCCAACTCATTCTTTCCTATCAAACCTTTCTAGCTTGGAAATACTATTAGGTTTCCTTGCATGGAAACTATGTGTGAGAACTTCCCACATATTTTCAGTAACACTTCAATTGAGCTTTTGAAGACCCTTCCAAAACTTCTAACTTTCTTAGAACTTTTATGAGATGTGTTAAGTATCGTTTGTTGCTAAAATATCTACATTATTTTAATTTTAAATTTTAATTTACTTAGCTTTGAACATTAGCTTTGAATACTTGTATTCAATTGAATTCATTTTCTCACCTAAACAAAATTTCTGTGCCACTGACAGCCGCATGAACCCAAAGAAGTTTACACTTCTCTTTAGGTAAAGCAGTGACCATGCTAAGGCATTTAAATTACCTTTGCTTGTTTTTCATCCACTGAGCCATATTCCTGCAGGCAATAAAATAAAGGCTTATTTGTCCCAAAGCTTTTGCTTCTGATAAAGTTGACCTAGTAATATACAGTACATAGCAGTTTTTTAGGCTTGTAATATATTACCATTCGTGTTCACCACAACATGATCCCTCTAAGCAGACCATCTCTTTCTCTCTCTATCAGGATCCACAGAAGATAGTCTTTCCATCTAGTTTTGGTGGGCTTGTCCTCCTGGCCTACCCTTTAAGGGTTTAAATGATTTTGGCCGCTCTGAAAGCAGGGGAGCTTTTAGAAGCTGCAAAGCTGCTTAACCTGATATGATTTATGAGCCATTCATACTCTTCCCCACAAATTTTATTTAACTCTTCACTTTTTGCCAACACACATCAACCCATGTTAGCTTCCTGTTTCTTCCTTTTCACAACAGCTATAAAAAGCATAAAAGGTTAATCTTTTTAGGTTAATATATCATGGTACTAGAGAAGAATATGTATCTGGTGCAGGGACGTGTATCTGCCTCAGGGGAGGCAGGGGAGGCAGAGCCTCACCACTGTCATCATGAAAAGAAAAAAAAATGTTAAAGGAAGCTA